ACTGAAACCTGTACTCGGTTTAGTGTTTAGTTAATGACGGGGTGGAGATTTTTTACATACTTGGAAACAATAAGTATCCTAGTCTTTGTTTGGGAGCACTTGGCTGATGTTAGATCACAGTTAGTCCTTAATTCTGCTGTTTAAAGCTCCACCCTAGCCTTTTCTTTCTGCTTTGGCAGAAACTCAAGGTAAGCCAGATATGAAAACTTAAGACTTTCTCAGGTGTTTTCTGAAAATTCACACGCTACTATTCTTACTGTTGTCCTTCCAAGATTCCTACAAATATGTCAAAGTTTTTGCAAACCCTGTGGACATCATTCCTAACTTTCTTTTTAAGCTTACTGGTTAGCCAATCGCGTGTTCCAATTTTTGTCTATTGCTTCAGGCAGCAACAAAGTTAAAACACTTGCCTGTAATTGTTTTTGAGAAACTCCTTCCCCACTGCTCCCTAACCATCCCTCAAACAAGACTTTTTGTGCTGGGTGAAATCGGAGTTAGCCTTTTATATGGGTTCTTCCAGGGACTCACCAGCCAGGTCACATGATGTTTCTTTGGAAATGAGGCTTTGGAAGAGCTCCAGTTTTGTTCTGTTTTTCAAGAGACTGTCAAGATACTTTGGGAATGCAGGTTGTTATTTTTATTAAGTTTACTTACTTATTTTGGAAAAGAGAGACAGCATGTGTGTGTGTGAGCAGGGAAGGAGCAGAGAGAAAGGGGTAGAGAGAATCCCAAGCAGGCTCTGCACTGTCAGCACAGAGCCTGACATGGGGCTCGAACTCATGAACCATGAGATCATGACCTGAGCTAAAATCAAGAGTCAGACATGACTGAGTCACCCAGGTGTTCCAAGGTTGTTGTATTTAATGCTACTCCTGAACTAACTAGTAGGCAATGTGACTCAGGCAAATGAAAAATTCCACTAAGCTAAAAAAAACACAACCAAGAGTCAGCTGTTTTTCTTGAATAAATGTTCCCTGGGTTGCTGTAAGACTTGGTTAATTCAGCAATTAATGATCCAAAATTATGATTTCACTTTGGTTTATACTAGTTTGTCACAGCTTTTAGGGAAGGGAGATTTTTCACAAGTCTTTCCTTGATTATTTTCAATGACTTCACCTGGAATAATTCCTTAAATTATTAAAATATTAATCTAATATTACTTTTACTGTGATTTTATTATACTGAATGTAACAAGGACTTTCTTAAATATATAATTCGGTGTTTGTGAAATGATAAGTACACCCCCAAAAATTCAGTTCATCCAAATTTATGTCAGTTTTATGGAAAATTTTAGTTTACCATAAAATTCTATTTTGCACTTAATCATTTGAGATTTTATTGTCACTTTTGTTGTTGTTGTCCTTTAGTGAATGCTCCAACTTAAACCTAAATTTCATCGTCCTAATAGTAAAACACAGAAGGGGCATCAATTAGGCTAACAGAGTTTTACTTATTCCCTCCAAAAGTCATCCCATTTTGGGATAAAGGAATTTCCATTTTAAGGCAGGAGTCAATTTTGAGGGATTTTTTTTTGAGTTTTCAATCGCTTATACTCTGAATATCTTTCACTCAGAGTATCCCTGCTAATCCCATCCTTCACAGGTAGAATGGTATCATTTTTCTGTGAAGAAAGCCAATGGACACCTCTAGGAAACAGTGGATTGAGGTGACACAGGGTGAGGTTGTTGGGGATGATCAGTGGTAGAAGAGTAATTCCACCATTGACGATAGTTACGGTAGGAACAGTGAAGGAACTGGCAACAGTCCTTGGATGGCCCTTCTGCACACCTGAACATGCGCATCCTCCCATTTAGTAAGTAGACCGCCAAGAATGTGCAAGAGCAGTGGGGAGCTGTCCACATGGAGGCCGAGAAAACTAGCTCTGAGGGACGTGCACTCAGAACTACTGGGCAGGGGGGACTTAAGGAAAATGAAGAGGTCTTGCCAAGTAAGGAAAATCAGAGCCATGGAAATCCTGTTGTGCACGTTTCTCTGTGTGTGTGTGCTTCTGTTCTTACCAGTCCTGTCTAACTTAGGAAAGGTGATTTTTCTTCCTAATGGTAATGGTGACATGAATTAACATTATTGAGCACTAGCTTTTTCCCAGGCATTATTACACATTTACCTATATTGAATCAAATTTTCAAAACCTTTTTATAGAAGGTCTGTTTTTAATAACTCCATTTTATTTATTTATTATTTATTCATTTAATGTTTGTTTATTTTTGGGAGACACAGACAGAGTGCGTCTGTGGGAGAGACACAGAGAGAGAGAGAGAGGAACACACAGAATCTGAAGCAGGCTCCAGGCTCTGTGCTAACAGAGGGGCTGTGCTAACAGAGGGGCTCGCACTCATGAACCGTGAGATCGTGACCTGAGCCAAAGTCGGCCGCTTAACCGACTCAGCCACCCAGGGGCCCCTAAACTCCATTTTAAAGAGGAGCCATCTGAAGCAGAGAGATGAGTAACTCACCTAGCATTATATGATTAATAAGTGTTACAGTCAGGATTTGAATACAGTTCAAACTATCTGTACAAGGCCCCGTCCTCTAGAAGTGCAAATGCTATAAATGACATCATTTTATTTAACTTATTTGTAAAAACAAAGACAGTGATAGTGGTTGTGTCTATTGTTTAGGACCATCCATCATACTACATTGGTGGTTGGTGATACAGGCCGCCAATGCATCATTCTGCTCTCATTACTACCTTGGCTTCTCCATTCGCTCAGAGTAAATGACAAAGTCGATCGATAGCATACTAGACTCTGTAAGTTCTGACCCCTCTGTGTCTCACCTCCTCTTTCTACTTCCTCTCACTCACTCATCTCCAACGCTCCTGGTCTCCTCGATGCTTCTGAAACCCAGCAGGCAAGCTCCAGTTTTTTATCTCCGCCTATTCTCCTAGACATCAACAGGGGTAACTGCGTCAGCTCCTGTGAGACTTTGCTCAAATCTCATCTGTTCAGTGAGGTGTGCCCTGATCATCCTATCTAATGCTGCAGTTTATACTACAACACCTCTCTGTGCTCCATTTTCCCCACAGTGCTGACTACCTTCTCTCTTCTATAATAAACACATAATACGTTTCTTGCTTGTTGCCTTTGCTTCTGCCAGAACACCAGCTCCACCGAAGTGAGGAATCTGTCTCCCTCCACAGAGTAGGTGCTCATTTATCAAAAGAAAAAATAAATATAATTTCTAAGAGTGAAAGAAACTCATGAACACCACTGGATTTCATCCCACCATGGGAAGCAGGCTTCTCCAACACTGACTTTCAAGTTCATCCTTTGGATTTTACACATGCTGTCTCAACTTTCTAGGTAATTTCTCTCCTGTGTTCTACCTGGGAACCCTGACCCTTCTGCCGAAATAACTTTCTACGTAATTTTCTCCACCCCTCCCTAACCTAGAACTTTTACCTCTCACCTTTGCATCTATAGCATGTAGCACAGTGACTGACATATGATCAAACCTCGTTGATGAAATGAACAATGGTTATTTCTTTTGATCTATGCTCCAGGCCCTTACAGACTTCAAAGACCGACACTTATGTTCATAAGGACTTTTTAAAAATGTAATGATCTCATCTCTACCATGGGGTTATCATATGTGCACAGTTCCAGACACCAAAGGCTTGAAACAGAACTGCTTTCTTTTCTTTACAGACAGCATTTCTAAGTAGGATATAGGATCATATTTGGAAATCTCTCTGTAGGCTGCTGTAGGCAATGTGTCTTGTAGGCTGCTGTATTGTTATGTATGTGCACATACACACAGACTAAAGGCTCAGGAGTTGACAGTAGTGCTGAATTCCACTGAACAATCATTCTGAAGCTCATTTCAAGAGCAACCCCTTTCTCACTAAGAGAGGTATGGTCTCACATGCATCTGTCTCTCTAGATACTCTAAACCATGAAAAGCAGCAACATCCATGTTTTAGCAAAAGCAATTTGGGAAGAGTGGCATAATCACATTCTCATCATTTTTGCTTCGGTGCAATTACCAGTCTATGTACAAGGATGAGCCAGAAGAGCTCCTGTGAAACTTTTCAAGGAAAAATCAGCCAAGGGTATAATGTGTTGTGAGCCTTTGGGTACTCGTGATCCTTCTCCCATATGGTGCCAAAAGCCCTTATTTAATTCACTCATGTCATCTCAGAATTACATAATTGTCTTCAACAAATGATAAAATACTAGTAGAGCAAACTGTACATTTTCAATGGATTTTTTTCAAATTTTTCTTAGAGAATTCTTTGTGACGGAACACAGAGAAAGTTACCAATATGTAGATTAATATCCTATTTTTTTTAAAGTTGTTTCACTTCCTTAATGAAATTTTTCCATTTTTTAACACATCTCACTAAAGCTAATTCTGAGGGGAAAGTTGTGGTTTTGTTTTGTTTTGTTTTGTTTGTTTTGTGACAGAGCGCCAGAGAGCACAAGCTGGGGACGGGGAGAGGGAAAGGGAGAGGGAGAGGCAAAATCTTTTTTTTTTTTTTTAACATTATTTATTTTTGAGACAGAGAGAGACAGAGCATGAACAGGGAGGAGCAGAGAGAGAGGGAGACACAGAATCTGAAACAGGCTCCAGGCTCTGAGCTGTCAGCACAGAACCCGATGCGGGGCTCGAACTCACGGACCGTGAGATCATGACCTGAGCCGAAGTCGGACGCTTAACCGACCAAGCCACCCAGGCGCCCCAGGGAGAGACAAAATCTTAAGCAGACTCCACTCTGAGCATGGAGCCCAATGCAGGCTGGGCTCAGCCTTACAACAGTGAGATCACGACCTGAGCAGAAAATAAGGGTTGGCTGCTTAGCCTGCTGAGCCACCCGTGCACCCCGAAAATTATTATTTCTGAATTTATTTTTACATAAAAATAATAACTTCTAAGATGGCCACCTTTGTTATTAAAGGTGTTTTCTTTGATTGGATACAACTATTTATGCATGATTCTAGAACGATGAGTGAGAGTGTAAAATGTTACCAGATACGGACCAACAAGGATAGAGTAGAGGATGCCTGGTCTATCTGCTGGCGGCTGAATGTTCCGGTCCTGGTCAACAGCTTGGATGGGCGGGGTAACCACGATGGGGTTCAGTTCTTCCTGGAAAAAAAAAAAGGGAGCGTTTAGTCCCACTTTATTCTTTTTTTTTTTTTTTTAATTTTTTTTTCAACGTTTATTTATTTTTGGGACAGAGAGAGACAGAGCATGAATGGTGGAGGGGCAGAAAGAGAGGGAGACACAGAATCGGAAACAGGCTCCAGGCTCTGAGCCATCAGCCCAGAGCCTGACGCGGGGCTCGAACTCACGGACCGACCGCGAGATCGTGACCTGGCTGAAATCGGATGC